TATAACAAAAGGAAAAAGGGTATAGTTATACAATTCTACTTTCTTCCTAGAGTTGTACGATTTCCTACAGTAATAAATCATACCTAAAAGGACCTTTTGGATCTCTAGGAGGAATTTCAACTGCATCAAGAACTTCAAAGAGGCAGGCCCATTCCAACAGGGGCATATGCTCGTCCAGTCTCATTTTCATGTTGGAACCAAGAAGACCAGATATAGGTAGAAACTGGACATCTACAGGTTCAGAATAAGATCAAAAACAAAATCAATATACAGAATTAATTGCTTTGCTTTCATTGAAAAGATACAAATAACCCACAATTTTAATTCAATCAATCACCATTTTCCTATATATATATATATAAGAGATATTCGAGAAGCAATATATCAATTACCTTTTTTCACATTGTAGCCTGAAGACCTCAGAAAAGGTACCATCTTAGATTCAATTTCATCATATCTGAGGAAGAATAGGAACACAGAAATAAAACAGCATATATAAGCATAAACTTAACTTAATTCAGGAACAGCACCTTTCTCTTAACCAGTTAACAGTGGGATTATCCATTTTGTTCACAATCACAAACAGCTTAGATAAGCCCAAAGTTTTTGCAAGCTGAACATGTTCACAGGTTTGCCCACCCCTCTCTTTACGGGCAGAAATAACCTGATTATGACAGTCAGATACAGAACAAGACAGAGAAGGAGAATGAATTAAGAATTCAAAAAATGGGACTTGTGCAAAACAAATGCAGTGAAGTGGTGCCTAACTCACCAGAACAGCAATATCTGCTTGAGCTGCTCCACTGATCATATTTGGGACATAACTCTTGTGACCCTGAACAAACAACCCAAAACTCAGTTAAATCATATACGGAAGCAAAATTGATGGGAAATATACATTCAGAACACAAAAAATTATGGCCAAAGAATACAAGAGCTGAGAATCTTATTCTGTAAACAGCTTCACAACTTCCCTACATCAGTACTGTACATAACTCCATCATTTAGATTACAAACTTGTTCGCTTGCACAAACTCGATAAGTATTTAGAATCATAAGTAGCTAAGCTGTCACATCTCAAAAGACCACCTCATCCCTAGGACTGCCCAGGTGAACAGTGATCTGCAACAAAATTGTGCCATAATCCAAGACGCAACATCAGAAACTTTCTCAGAGGGCCCCGGTGAGCTACTCTGCCGGAGTTCTAGTCAGAAAGGTGGCAGAACCTCACGCGCTGTGGCCCAAATCTGACCTGCAAACCAGACCCGATCCAATTCCCAAAGGTCAAAGAAGGTTGTGCCGAGTGAAATGGGCTTAATTTAATAAATAGTCTAGTTAACTTTTTCTTTTTGTTTTGTCTATTATTTTTAGATACTTTCAGATCCAATACTATTTTTTACTTTTATTTCAGTTTAATCTACTTTGTTAACTTTCTAGTAGTAATTTTACTTCATTTGGTCAAATTAATTTTTAACTTCTTTTGTGAATTTTTACTCCTTAAAATTAATTTTGAAATGAAACCAACTTTGTGAGGATAATAAGTTCTTTTTCACTGTTTGATAGACTATAACCTTTATCACATGCTACTTCAACTTTCCTTTTTGAAAATTCTTCCTTGTAATAGAAACCACAATTATTGGCATGCTTTAATAGCTTGCACAGTCTGTTGTAAACTGCTTTACTAGTTGGAACTACTCTATTTTAATTTTGATTTAATTATTTTTTTTCTTTTAAAATAAATGGAAGTTTTGTACAGTAAACTATTCTAAAATATTTTACAAAGTTTATAAACCATTTAAAAAAAAAAACTAACTTTCTAGACTAAAATGAAATACAATGATAGTTAATAGACTAATCATTGAATTAAACCAAGTTAAATGATTAGCTGCGTTTCGATGTTATTTTTGGCAGTTTAGTCCTTTAAGTTTCACAAACATGCCGTGTAGCCCTTAAATTTTCAAAATTTTTCAATTTCTGATTTTTCTCCCATTTTTTAACGACTTTTCTGACATTTAAAAAAAAAAATTTTAAGGCAAAACATCCAGACGCATCTAGCTGCACCTGGGTGCTCCTGGGCACAGGGTGCTAGTCTGCCTACTGTGTTTTGTAACACTGCTTGCATGAAGAAGGAGAGTTTCATTTGATAGAACTACAAACCATCACATAGTTCACTTTTACATTAGCCTGAGATTGTACAGCTTATCAAAGCATTAATTAGAAACTATCCCTCCCATCTATCCCTCATCTTTTTCAACCTCATAGAATCATATCATAATTCACAAAATACAGATGTACAAAAGCAATAAACTAGATAAAACTTATAACCTTATCAAACAAAAATTAAATAATGAAGACAGGAAATCATTTAAAAAATACAAAATCATGGTGTTTTAGCTTCAAAATAATTGCTTACCGGTGCATCCAAAATGGCAAACCTAGTATTTTCAGTCTCAAAGCGTGCTCTTCTAACTTCCACAGTAATACCCTACAATCGTGTGAGATTGTGCAAATAACAAAGAGCAATGACATGCATCAGGAAAAAAAAAGTTGCAACCATTTTTTTCTTTAAAATAGCAACAATATGGAATCCAAAAATGTAAACATGGTTACTACATCTTATAGTACCTTGATTTTCTCCTCTTCATTAGAGTCCATAAGATATGCCATACACCTAACGGAGAAGACAATTATGGTCAAACAATGCAAGAGCCAAGACTCTTAATTGTCTAGCACATTAAACATTTAACAATCTCAAGAATGCTTGATGTGATGCTGAATCAAACAAACTTTAACAGGAAACAGAACCAAAAATTTTGAGAGCAACTTATATTGGCATTTGATAGGATAAATGTCATAACCCAATTTTAATTGGGGCTAAGTGAGAAAAGTAAAAGTTTGTGGACCATTTCACAAAAGGTGTAAAGCTTGAAGGGCTGAGATGAAGAACTAGCAAAACAACGTCGTTTTGCCTGTAAGTTGAAATAAAACCCAGGGTTCTGTCGAACCCTAGCTTCCCAAAATCTCATTTCTTCCTTTTGCCGCCGATTATCTCCAAAATTTCACAAAAATTCTTCTTATCCATTCAAAGTTTGGATAGCCCACAACAACACAAGAAGAGATTTTCGGATTTGAAGTTCTTATCAAGAGTCGCAGAAGATATTTCAAATAGGATTAGATTATTATCTGTAATTTTGGGGATTGGGATTAGAATTGAGAGTTAGAAAAAGGATTGGAGTCCTCTCTATTTCTGTATAAATAGGGGGCACCTTCGGCTTTAAAAAAAAAAAAAAAGGATCCGAGGGCGAAGAGGAGGAAAATTGGGGAAAATTTGGGAGAGAGAAAGGGGAAAAAATTGGCGAAGCTTGGAAGGAGAATTGGAGAGATCAAGAAGAAGTACAGCAGTTTGTAACTAGAACTTCAAGAAAATAAAGCTTGATTTTCCATATTTTTCAGGTGTGCATTGTTAATTTTTTTTTGGGTGTTGTTCTGTTCTGTTTTTTTTTCTTCATATCGGTAATTGCTTGATTTCTTTGTTAATTTGTTTCTTTCATGGTTCGTCTGTAATTGATCTTGAGGAAGGAAATGTTTATTGGTTGGCCTTGCTGTAAACAAGATTCCACTTATTTTTCCCCTATAGCAATCTGTTTCCTGTGGTTTAGTCCTGTGTTAGTCATGAAGGTTTTTTTTTAGGATCTGTTGTTATTTAGCTTAAGAGATGCATTAGATAGGAAAAGAATAAAAGGAGTTTTCTTAGAAAATATGAAGGGAGTTTAGGCGTTAGAAAAAGAAACAGAAACAAAAAAAATAAAGAAAGAAATAAAAGAAGCAGAAACGGAAAAAAAAAAAACAGGAAACAAAAATAAAAAGGAAAAAAAAAACAAAAGAAACGGGAAAGAGGAAAAAGGTAGAGGATGATGAACAGTAATTGTTCTAGCTTTTTTGGATAGTTATTATTGATAAGTAAAAATTGAAACAAAAAGAAATAGAATAAAAAAGCAGAAACGGGAAAAGGACAACGATGGTTTTTTTTTAAGTTTCTTATTATTTTTTTTCTTTTATTTTCCTGGTAATTATTATTTTTATAAAAATTGAAATTTCTCAAAATTAAAGTATTTGGTAACCATATTTATATGGAAGTTGTGGGGTGCCTAATA